AAAAAAAAAAAAAAAAAAAAAAAAAAAAAAAGAAAAAGAAGAGGTCCTCCCAAAATCCCTGTGCATCGAGAATGATCCCCTCAATCTCGTATAAAAGCCCGCACCACAATGCACTGCTCCAGTGCCCCCGCCATGCTGCCAATGCCCGAATGTGCGTTCTGCCTTCGCCTCTGTCCTTCGCTTCTTTGCCTGGCTGAGTTCTGGCAGTTGCCACTTGCCTGTCTCTCCGTCTGGGTTCCAGCGCAGGTACCTACCTGGGTGGTTCCCTGATAGGCCTACGGGTAGTTACCTGGGCTGGGCTCCGACTTGGGCCCAGACTTCCTAAGGTGCGGCCTTCACTTAGGGACGGCCTGCATTTTCTGCAGACAGCCTTTAGGGTGCACCACAGAGGCCTGGGGCGTCACATTTTAGCTAGTATTCCATATATAAATAATAAATATCTGAATTTTTCTGTCTGAATGGTGATGATAGTCTTCATCTTTTCGCTTTTTTGTTTTGTTTTGTTTTGTTTCTTCAATAGAATACAGCACTTGATGCCTGCCCACTGAACAGGATCAAGGCTCCATGCCTGGTGAGTGTCCACCTCTAGCTAACGCTCACTTCTATTCGTAGGGAGCAACACGTTTCGCGCCGCGGAACGGGCCCAGGGTGCAATGAATGCCAGTATATAAGAGCATACATACAATGCACAAGAACTGCAGAGCAGCATTAATTACTCTAGCCAAACCCAGAGATGATTTGATTATCTGCACTGATGAGGACCACCCCAACAAGAGGCTGGCCACTTTTCTGCAAGCCCCATGGTGGCTGGTTCCACTTGTCTGCAAGCCCCATGGTGGCATGGTCTTCTTTTCTTTCTTTGTTTTTTTTAACATCTGCGGGGGGTGCCACAGGGGCCCACGGGGTGATTCGAGAAGCCCCCATATGGTACCCTCCAACCGATGGATCTGATCTATTGTTGGGGAGCAGCACCTGCCGGAGACCGGGTCCAGCGTCACATACTCGGAACCCAGAATGAGAATGAATATGATACAGCCGAGGCCATGGCCCGGGCTTTGGCTAGTCTGCAACTGTGACCACAAAATTCCAAATACATTCCAAATCTTAAAGCACCAGTACACCACACATCGGCCCGCGGGTGTCAGCACGAAACCCGCACCACTTCAGAGGCCGCCGTTTTTTTTTTTTCAACGGCGCCCCACGCTGCGCGGCCCCTCCGAGTTTTGCTCGTGGCGACAAAAACTTTCTGCAAGCCTGGGGCCGTGTACTTGCAGTTTAATGTCTTTAATTTTCTCTGTTTCACTTCCTCCAAAGGTATTGCCTAAATACCTAAAAATTTAAAATTCTGAATATCTATAATCATCTCTAATCATCTCATCGGTTTCAATTTTCAATTTTATTCCTCAACTTCATAATAATCCTATAATTCCTCAATCCCCCCAAAAAATTCTGAATTCCAAATTCTTCGGTCATGAATTTTTCTCGTCTCAATCTGCCAAATTTCGATCCCCGATTCTGAATATTTTAGGGTCGTTGATGGCGCTTATTCCTGGCGGTTTGGTGGGTTGGTTTTGAGGAGGGGAGCACTATCTTGCAGCCTAGTTGCAGGGGTTCACAAGATGGAAGGGGAATGCCCTGTAGGGGGTAGGCCCGGGACCAGGTTGGGGGTTGCTTCGTTCTGGGGCTGGGATAGATGCATTCATGGTATCATATCCTAGCGGAGACAGATGAGGGCAAGGGGTCGACAGGGGCATACTTTGGGTGGGAATTGGATGCCTTTGAAGCTGTCTCTTATACACATCTAGATGTGTATAAGAGACAGGTTATGTCGAGGGTGATTCAACTCCTGCGTGACGCGGCCGAGAGGGTCCCGCGCCGCCGCATGCGGTGCCGGGCCGATGCGCTCGACACCGCGGT